TCAATTCATTATTGTTAAAAGGTCCAGAACAAAAAAATTCATTAATAGAAATATTATTGAATTTTAGGAAAGGAAAAATTGGAGTTGCTGTAGATATTAAAGATTTGTTCTCACAGATTCAAATTCGACCTGAAGATCAGTCTGCACAAAGGTTCCTCTAGAGAGAGGGTGATCCACATAAGCCTATACAAGAATTCGGCATGACATCATAAATTTTTGGTGCCGTTTGTTCTTCGTCCTGCGCCGAATATATTACGAACAAAAATGCTGACAGATTTTAGGAAAAAATGCCAGAAGCAGTTTCAGCCATCTTAAACCATCATTACGTCGAAGATTTGGTAATAAGCTTCGACTAACGCTATAAAAGTTTGCAAAGAAGTGGTACACATACACGGCAGTGGAGGTTTTGAACTCAGAAGTTTTGTTTCGAACTCTGTTCGACTGCAGGAGACGTTTAATGGAACAAAAGCAATACATAATGTAATAATAATTAATTATAATAATTTCAACTCAACTCTTCTTTTCAAACGCAAGCCACCGAATGACGCGGCGTCGTTCTTTCTTTTTTATATTTATTTTGCAAATTTTGCGTCTTTTCTCATTTTTTACCTTTCAGCTTCCGTTATTGTTCTCTCTGCTGTTGTATCTCACTGCTGAATGAACTATTTTCCTCGGTTACTGCTTTTCTGCCTGTTTCCCATGTCAACTCCTAGCTCCCAGCCTGCTCCGTTCAATACCCTTTTTTACATTAGGCCTTTCCTGACTACTCATCTGTCGCAGATGACCAATCATCCTCGTTGTCCTGCACATACCGCCACAGCTTTATGTAGTCACAACTGGTTGAAGTGGTAGATGGTCCTTCGAAGTCTGCTGCCTTCCGAACATTGTATCTGCCATTTATCTTCAATTTTGCAACTTCGTACGGTCCCAAGTACTCTCAAGCCAACTTCTTTCCAGCTACAAACTGTGTCCGGCGTATAGCGACTAAGTCTCTAACTTTATAATCGACTTCCGATTTTCGTTTTCGGTCAAAGTTCCTTTTATACGATTCCTGTGCTCGTTGAATCTTGAGATTTGCATATTTTTTACAACTTCCCTGCTTCTTTTTTTAAAAACTTTTGGGACTCACGCATCTTCATGTTGGCCAACTCCTGGCGGCGAGCGAAGGTCTCATCGTGGGTCGACTTCTTCTGTAGCAGCTGGCGCTCCTTTTTAGCCAGCGACTTTTCCTTCTTGGTGCCATCAATCTGGGCGTTGTGCAACTCACGCAGCTTGTGGTTGCTGGCCAGATCTGATTTAAGACTTGCTCTTTGCGGCGTCTCCGCCAATCGCTCTTGGGTTATCCCAGCATCGCAGCGGGTCAGCTTCTTGGTCACTGCCTCATAGCCAATGGTTCTTCTATTTCCATCCGTTGGCGGCTTCTTCAGCACCTTCTCGAAACTCTGCACATATGGAATGATGTCATCATCTAGTACCATCCGCATCTTGACTTGGACTTCTGTTACTGTATTCACGGCCTTGTAGTTCTTGATCAGCTGCGACACTTCCTCAGCATACTGATTTGGCTTCCCACAAGCCTTCACCTCCAGCGGGAAAGAAAACTTGTATCTGTCGGCCGACAGCGAAAAGTTAAACTGCGAGACGAAATCGAAACCAAGCAGCGCGTCATACTCAATGTCCGCATCCTCTACTACAACAAAGTTGTGTGTCGTCAACTCTTGACCTACTGCAAACTCAGACAAAAAGTAGCCAACTGGGTACGTCATCCTCTTTCCAAGCCCACGCAGCTTCGACGCACATCTCCTCAAGATGACATTGTGTATTTTTTCTAAGACATACTTGCGCAAAATAGTAACGTCGACTCCCGTATCTACCAGACACTCTACTTCCACGTCGTAGATGGCAACCTTTTCCATGCGATTTGCACTGCTTACAACTTGAACACCTGCAGCTGATTCAGGGTTATCCCTTGACATGTGACCCAATTTGTTGCAACTGAAGCACTTCACGGCAGCCTTACAATCCTTGCGAAGATGATCTGTAGATCCACAATTGAAGCAGTGACTCCTCGTGTGGTTGAACTCGCGCTGCATCCACTCTCCATCGTTCGGCTTGAACGGCTTCTCGCCCACGCGTTCGTACACCTCATACTGCTCCTGTAGCTCTTTGTACGTTTTGCAACAGTAGAGAGAGTATCTAAAGCCACTACTCTTCTTGCAGCCTATTGTTCTCTTCTCTTCTTCCTGTTCACCTGATTTACCATTTTGTTACTTCTCTCCGCTGCAACCAATCTGGTGTAATACGGCTTCTTCCTCATACTCATTCCCTTTTGCTTGCAATTTTCAAGTTCGGACGAGCCCCCAAATGTAAGATGGGTTGATAGCCCCGCTTAGCTGGTTCTTTATTATAGTATTTATTTTTTAAAATTATATTTATTTTGATTATTGCAAGTTTTGCGTGTTTTCTGCTTTTTTAATTTTCAGCTTTCGTTATGGTTCTCTCTGCTGTCGTATCTCACTGCTGAATTGAAACTGCTGAATTCTTTTTCCTCGGTTACTGCTTTACTGCCTGTTTCCCCTGTCAACTTCTTGCTCCCAGCCTGCTTCGTTCAATACCCTTTTTTACATATATGTTCCAATTTGGAACACAAAAGATGACACATTCCAGTTTGAAAAAAAAAATCATCGAATCTCGGTAAAGGTAATGCAAGGTCACCGTAACCAACTAAAACAGAACTATTGGGTATTGTAATGTCAGTTTATGATTCTTTAGGATTTCTGGCAGATTTCCACATACACTCAAAAATATTAATACAAAAGAATTGGAGTTATTGTATCGGATGGGACGAAACTTTGCCAGAAGACTTAAGACTAGAATGGAAAAACTGGTGGACTGCCCTACAAGAGCTGTCAGAATTTCAAACTCCCCGCTTTTATTCTCATAGTTTAGATATCTGCAAATACAAAGAACTCCACATATGAGTCGATGCAAGTTGTCGAGTATCTCCGTATTAGCAACAACAACAATATTGATACACCCTTTATAATGGGAAAAACATGCTTGCCCCAACAAAATTACTATTGATACCCCGTTTAGCCGTTCTAGGAACCCGTTTAAAGAAGTCGATATGTAAATCGTGTTACTGAAATCCTGTCATCATTCCAACCAAAACGTTGGATACCATCCACAAAAAACACAGCAGATGCTGCCATTCGCAAGCTGATATACCAAACATCCGGCAAAACAATGGTTATGTAGCCCACAATTTCTTAAACTAAATCAAATCGAATGGCCTTCAATAAACATTCTTACTTTCTCTTGAAAAAGAAATATCCGTAATCATTAATGAAAGCCGACGCCAGAAGCCTACTAAAACGTGTTCAAAGAAGCTGTAATAGATGTATTGTTGATCGAAGCCAACCAGCTGTACCATTAATTGGTCAACATCCAATTGATCGACTATGTCCGTATGTCAGACCTTTTTCATATTGCGGACCCATTAATGTAAACATTGGTCGCCGTTGTGAACAGAGATGGACAGAAATATTTACTTATCTTACAATACAAGCAACCCATTTAGAATTGGTCGAATGCCTGTCAAAAGATGCCATTATTGTCAGTCTAATGAATTTTGTAAATCGTCGAGGGTTTCCAGTGGTAATCAGAAGCGACAATGGCACGAATTTTATATGAGCTCAGAAATAACTATCTACAAAGGACAGACTCTTCAACATTGACGCCCTGATCAACGAAACGGCTCGACTGAAAATTGAATGGATATTTCACTCTCCCACTAACCCAAGTACTGGCGATTGCTAGGAAAGACATTCGCATTATAAAACTGCTAATTAAGAAGTCGCTCTCTGACATAGCACCACGCGTCGAAACATTGCGTTTGGCACTAATTGAAGCAAAAAACATTAAATTCCCGGCCATTAACAGAACTACCAATTGACCACGAAGAAGACGAACCTGTGACAACCAAACATTTCTTATTGGGATGCGCAAATACCACTCCAACACCACATCCATCAGAAAATATTTTATGAATGCGAAAACAATGAAAAATTGCACAATGTTTTAAGGATAAAATCGAAACTTTGAAATATCTTGAATGAAAACATGTTGAAAAACAGTGAATTTACGAGATTCTGAAATAACATAAAATAGTAGTAGTCATTAGAACATCTTCAGAAATAAGTTAAGCTGTGCTGTTTTTTTAAATATTTTCACATTCACTTTGAGGTATGACTACTTTATGTTATTTCAAAGTTTCAGATTTAGTTTATGAAAATTTGAAACAATCGGAAATTATAGCTTCATTGATCTTTAACTTGTTTGTATCTTTTTTATGATATTTCAGAATTTCGATTTTAATTTTATATAAAACGGACTACTATATTATATATCTGCCATAGGAACGAACATTAGATGTAGTTAAAAATGTAAAACTGTAAATATTTGCATTGGTAAATATAGTTGAAAGTTGGTATTACTTGGTTTCTATTCAGTAAATATATTTATAATATAAATAATATTCAATATTTCAAATCTGAAATATTGTAACGATTTTAAAATAATGTTATTAAAACCAAATATTTATATGCTTTGTTTAAATATACATCTTTTATATATTCCTTGTTAGTCTTCAAGTATTTGAATACTTAACGATAGATATTTCTAGCTAAAAGCGATTAATTATTTTATTAATATTTATAATTGTTAATAATTAAAATTACTATTAATATTAATATTAATAATTATTTATTTTTGTATAGCTCTTTAGGTTTTATATAATGTATGAAATACAATAGTTACAAATTTCTTCAAACAAGAGAAGTTGTCCAAGTTTAAAAAAAAAAAACAGTAAATATTTTGAGAATTCATTGAATGCACTTCATAAAGAGTATCAAAGCTCAATTATCTTATAATTTGTATTAAGTGGTTAAAATATATATTTTCATATGCAGGGATTAATAATTCTTTTACATCTGACTTACCATACATATACCGGACAACGAAGTCTACACGGTTATCCCATGAATAGGCCATTACGACGGTACTTGAAACTAAAAACTAAGAATTCATATGTATTAGTAAATAAGCGATTGTTAAATTTCATTTAAATGTTTGAACTTAATTTTAAGGAACGTAATTTTGATACGTTAAAGTATATTAATATATTATATATATCTTTTTTTAATTAAATGTTTAAGTTAGTAAGGTAGTAAATAATTGCTCCTTACCTTTGGAGTAGTTTACTTCAGACTAACTAAGTGTTGTATATCTCATCCACATTGGCAACATTAATTTAAATGCATGTATCTAAACATTATATATAAATACTTTTATTGTAAAGAAAATGCGTTTTAATTATATATTTACAAATAAGATTATACATAGACACGTATATATATATAAATCTATATATATATATACGTGTCTATGTATAATCTTATATATATATATATATATATATATATATATATATATATATTTATGTATGTACATCTACATACGCATGTTTTTATATCAAATATATGCATTTTTTATATATTATATATATTTAAATATATGCATATATATAATATTATATGTATAATTGTAGTTCGCATCTTTGTATGTTATGAATATTAACTATAAAATATTAAATGTTAAAACTTAATTAATTACTAAATATTTAAGTTAAATCTCAATACATTTTTCAAAAAAAAAAAAACATTAAACAATATAAATACTTTTCTTTATTTATTGTAAAATTTGTATATATATATATATATACTATACTATATATATATATACATATATATATATAATAATATTTAAATTTATTCATAACATATAATATTTTATTGTTATTATAAATTTCTCAACTATTTTTATGTTATTCGGTTTTATTTAGTTTCTCTTGTTTTGATACATAATGCAATCTTCACTGTAGTTATAGGTATGAACACAATGGGATATTTTTAAAACATGCTTAACCTATTATAAAAACACAATTTTTACAAAATAACATATCAAAATATTTTTGGTTTGGTTTCTTTAAACATTTAACTAGGATATTCAACATGGCATACAAATATTATATGTATTTTTTTATTCAGGGTAGGTGGGTTTCCGAGTATATTGGTTTGTTTTCCCCGGGCCAGTAGTTTTCAGAAATGCCCGAAATGGATATACCTGTTTTTATACGATTGCAGGGTATTATAATTTCAGTCAGAAGTTTGCAACGCAGTGAAGGAGACGTTTCCGACCCTATAAAGTATATATATTATTGATCAGCATCAACAACCAAGTCGATCTAGCCATGTCCGTTTGTCCGTCTGTCCATCTGTCCGTCTGAATGAAACTTTGCATATATTCTTCTATATACTCTTACTACTATATATTTCGGAACGGGCCAGATCAGACGAACATATCATATAGCTGCCATACAAATGTTTGATAAATTTTTAGAAAAAAATTTATAACTTGGCTGTTTTTCAACATTTTTTCACCATTTTTTAGATATGGCCATTTTATATTATTTCTGAATTTTGGTAAAATTTTTATGAAAATCGGACCACTATATCTTATAGCTGCCATAGAAACGATCGGGAAATGAATAGGAAAACAAGAAAGGAAGCTAACTTCGGCACGCCGAAGTTTGTATACCCTTGCAGATATTATTTCATTACATTCTATCTACACTTATTATGTTTAGAGTTTGACAGTTACAGTTTTACATTCCCAGTTTTACATTTTCTCTACATCTTCCGATCGGTTTATATGGCTGCTATATGATATAGTTTTCCGATTTTCATAAAATTTATACCAAAATTCTGAAATATTAAAATAAGCTTTTATCTCAGAGTAGATAAAAATAGGTTAAAAAACAAGGAAGTTATAATTTTTTTTCTATTAATTTCCCGATCGTTCCTATGGCAGCTATAAGATATAGTCGTCCGATTTTCATGAAATTTTTACCGAAAATCTAAAATAAAAAAAAATGATATAATCTAAAAAATGACGCAAAAATGTTGATAAACAGCCAAGTTAAAATTTTTTTTCGAAAAATATATCGAACATTTGTATGGCAGCTATATGATATAGTCGTCCGATCCGGCCCGTTCCGACATATATAGCAGTGAGAGTATATAGAAGACTATATGCAAAGTTTCATTCAGATAGCTTTAAAACTGAGGTACTAGTTTGCATAGAAACGGACAGACGGACGGACGGACAGACGGACATGGCTAGATCGACTCGGCTGTTGATGCTGATCAAGAATATATATACTTTATAGGGTCGGAAACGTCTCCTTCACTGCGTTGTAAACTTCTGACTGAAATTATAGTACCCTGCAAGGGTATACAAATTATAACTTCGTTGTTTTTCAACGTATTTTTATCTACTCTGAGATATAAACTTTTTTTTATTATTCTAGAATTTTGGTATAAATTTCATAAAAATCGGACAACTATATCATATAGCTGCCATAGAAGCGATCGGTAAATTTATAGAATATGTAAAGCTGGGAATGAAAACTGTAACTGTCAAACTGTAAACATAATAAGTATAGGCAAAATGTAATGAAACTCTGTTTTGTGAGTGTTTTCAGCATTTAAATCTATAATATAAACATCGAAACCAATCTGCAAGGGTATACAAACTTCGGCGTGCCGAAGTTAGCTTCCTTTCTTGTTTATACATAGATTATTTAGGGGGAAAATTTCTCAATACCCCCGGCCTGGGATGTCAACACTGTATTCTAATATTGTTTAGTGTAATTTTTATTAAATTGTTCTCTATTTATAAGTTCAGAAATGACAAATAATATAAACAATATTATAACATAACACTATTATTAAGAGTACAATATAGGTTATGAACATATTGTTCCCTGCAGTACTGCGCGCTGGTTCGTAGCTGGTGAAATAAGCGCTTACCAGCAGACCACCCCTACTTACCCATCGGGCCCAAGCAATGCGATTTTTCATTTCCGTTTTTGTATGAAATGTCCGCAAATAGGGTCAATCGCCACTGTGTCGTATACCCAGGAACTAGTGAAATAGTGCTCCATATTAAGGGAAGTAATGTAAGTACTTACATGGGACCCCATGGAATGGTCGGCAATGTAAGTACACAGAAAAAAAATCCGGTATAAAGTGCTCAAAATCAATTAATGTATAAATCTTATTAAAAGCCACTTAAACGTACTTTTCCTATTTCCCGGTCGGGATTCGAACCCATGTCTCAGAAATCACAGACCGTCTGCTTACCAACTGGGCCACTGAGTCAAATCAAAAGCTAATGTCGGGAACCCGAATACATACAATTTGAAGGAAAGAGCAAAAATATATGTATCCTTTTCTCTCTCTCTGAGCTAAAAGTAGATTTGCTGCTCTCACCAAATTTTTAGAATCCAGCTAGTAGCCGGTTCGCAGCTCGTTTACCGTAGGGTCAGTATAGTAAGTACCCATATAGTAACCGACGAAGTAAGCAACTACGCAAGGCCAATCGCCACCTCCAGTACTGCAGGGTTGTCATAGGTTGGTTTCACTTCCTAAATTTAGTCATCCGTTCTTGCCTGTTCCGACATACATATATACTAGTGAGAAATGAAGGTTAATCTGCAGAGCTCAATTCAGATAGCTTCAAAACTAAAGAAGTTTTCGTAGAGTTGTACTCACCGACGGACAGACGGTCACACTGTTAGATCAAATCGCCTGTTGATGCTGATCAAGAATATACAATATATATGTCCGGTTAACCTTTGTATTCTCTGAATTGCCCATATTTTTGTCTCGTTCGATTTGGATTTTATATGTTGGTGTTGGGGACGGCACTTCTTTCCTGGTAAATTTGTGGGTTGAGAGGCTGTAAAATTCCCACGGCGCTGACGTAAATTATAGTCGAAGTCGAAATGAAAACAGCGGGGGCGTCGTCGGTAAATTCAACATCAATTCGTTCAGCTTTATTTCGCTGCATACATAGAACTAAGTCTAGCTTAAGCATAAGACCGGGCTGCCGCCCGCTTTACTTCGCTAAAGCGAGAGCGGGAGATCGGCAGCGGCCTATCGAAGTATTCGGAAACGAACTCCGAGGCCCGCGCTCGAGAGTGCGGAAGCGCTCAGCGCTGCGGGAGAGCGAGCGCGGGAGAGCGCGCGCTGGAGAGCAAGAGGGGCGAGAGCGGAAAGCTCAGCTAGCAGCAGCGGTACGATGGGCCGAGTACCTAAACATTCCGCCCCCCCTGCAATCACTAGGGTTGCAACATCATCCAAACATCCGGCAAAACAGTCAATGGTTATGTGGCCCACAATTTCTTAAACTAAATCAAATCGAATGGCCTGCAATAAACATTCTTACAATTTCTTGAAAAAGAAATAAATATCAAAACCGTTTTAAACTGTCAAGTAAATTACCGTTTTATCAATTTCGACAAATTTTCTATCTTCTTAAGACTGACCAGAGTAGTCGGATGGGTTCTTCGTCCCAAGAAAATTTTAATGCCAACCGCTCAAGAAGAAGTATTTGGAGAAGAAATCCAAGCGATAACTTAAAATGCGCAACTGTCGAAGAAGAGTTGGTAGGTAGTTAGGTATAAGTGGTGAGGCAGCCCTGGCCGCCTCCAATTAGAGCTGAGCTCCGTTTTGATCCACACCCTCGATTTGTTGTTGTCTGCGCCCTACTTAGTACCAGCCCGTGTCATTCAGGTAAGCTAGGATGGCCGCTTCTGGCTGCCTTCCAATTTCCCTTAGTGACTCGAGTTGGTGTGCTCCGAAGTGTCGGGCTCTTTGTTTGTTGAGTGCCGGGCAGTGGCACAGCAGATGCTCTGGTGTCTCCTGCTCGCTTGGTTCCTTGCAGGTTCTGCATTGTGGGTTGTAGGGTAGACCCATCCTACAGGCTTGCGTGCCTATTGGCCAGTGGCCGGTGATGGTTGCCGCTATCCTCCTGATGTCCTTTTTGCTCTTGGAGATCAGTTCTGCGGTTCTCTTCCTATTGAATTCTGGCCAGCATAGTTTCGATCTTCTGTGCTCTGCCTTCGTCGACCATTCCTTGCTGGCTAGTTGTTTGAAATGGTCATGAATTTTCGTCTGGACTGAGTTCAGGGAGATCTGTATGTCTGTTGTTGCTGAGTGTTCTTCTGACCCTTTTCTGGCCAGCTCGTCTGCTTTCTCGTTTCCGTCTATGTCATTGTGTCCGGGTACCCAGGCTATTTGTACCCTGTTGTCTTCTGCTAGTCTGTTTAGTGCCCCTTTACATTTGGCCACTAGTTTTAAATTCGTCCGTGTTTGTGCGAGGGATTTGATCGCCGCCTGGCTGTCTGAGTATATCCTCACCTTGGTATTCCGGAGGCCTCGGTCTAGCGAAAGTTCGGCAGCTTTCAGTATCGCGAGAACCTCCGCCTGGAAAACCGTCGCTGACTCTGGGAGGTGGAAGTATTCCTCCACCTTCCAGCTCTCGGCGTAGATTCCGGCCCCTACTCCGTCGCTCATCTTTGAGCCGTCGGTGTAGAGTGATACTTCGTCCGGTTCGGTTACTCTCCCTCTCTTCCAGTCTTCCCTTGTAGGGTATATAGTGGTGTATGTGTTACCGAATCGCAGTTCGGTTGTCATGTAGTCTGTGTCTACTGTCGTCCGATAGTTTATCTCGTTCAGAATCCTGCAGTGCCCGGTGTGGTAGTCTTTCCAGCTTTGACTAGCCTTAAGTCGTACCGCACCTTGTGCTGCAGTGTTCCTGATGAAATGCTCTATCGGTATTATGTTCAGGATGGCGTTCAGCGCCGCCGCGGGGCATGATCTCAGTGCTCCTGTGGCTCCTGCGCATGCCGATCTCTGTATCCTTGTTAGTTTCTGTACGTTGTATGCCCTAGTTAATGCTGGCTACCATACTAATGCTCCGTATGTGAGTATGGGTCTTACCACCGCTGTGTAAAGCCATATTATTATCTTGGGGTGGATGCCCCAGTTCTTTCCGAACATCTTCCTGCAGGAATAGAATGCTATGCTTGCTTTCTTGACTCTCTCGTTGATGTTTTGTTTCCATGGCAGTTTCGCATCCAGTATCACTCCCAGATACTTTGCCTGCTGTGATATCTCTAGTTCTATGCCATCTATCTTTGGCTTTGTGAAGCTAGGGACCTTAGTTCTCCTAGTGAAGAGCATTAGTTCCGTTTTACTTTTATTTATGCCCAATCCGCAGGCTTTTGCCCATGCATTGAGTTTAGTAAGTGCCCTTGTCATTAGTTCGCTGATGACGTCGGGGAATGGTCCTGAAGGGAGTAGGACACGTCGTCTGCGTATGCTACCACTTTTACTCCTTCGCTATTTAGTGTTCTTAGTACGTCGTCCATGTTTATCAGCCAGAGCAGTGGGGACAGGACTCCCCCCTGAGGTGTGCCCCTCTTCACAAATCTTGTGTGATGAGTGCCACTCAGTTCGGCTGTTATCCTCCTGCTCGTCAGCCAATCCATGCCCTGATGCCTCCCTCTACTCCTATACCGTTGAGGGAACTCAGGATGGAATCCGCATTGACGTTATTAAAGGCTCCTTCTATGTCCAGAAAGGTGGCCATGGCGTAGTTTTTGAAAAGTAGAGCCTTTCTATGTATCGCACTACCACGTGTAATGCTGTTTCCGTGGATCTGCCTTTCCTGTACGCATGTTGCGCATTGGAAAGGCTTTTCTCCGTTCTTTCTCTGATGTGGATATCAATGATCCGTTCCAGTGTTTTCATTAGGAAGGAGGTAAGGCTTATCGGCCTATAATCCTTGGCTTGGATGTGTCCCCTTCTTCCTGGTTTTGGTTTGAAGACTACCCTCGCTTCCTTCCATGGAAGTGGTATGTGTGCTGTTTTAATGCATGCCTGGAAGATTGCTTGCAGCCATTTTCCCGTGCTTGCTTTCGTTGTTTGTAGCATTGCCGGTATTACTCCGTCTGGAACCGGGCTTTTGTATTTGTCGAAGGAATCTATCGCCCAATGGATTCTTTCCATGGTGATGATATCTTCTACTTGTAGCTGCTGGTCTGCCCCCTGGCTTTCCATTATTCTAGGTTCTTCTGTTTGGTTTCCTGGGAAATGCGTATTCAGCAGGACTTCCAGTGACTCTTCAGCCGACGTACTTCCTGTCCCATCAGGTTTGTTTATGATCGTGGGGCTTGTGTGTCCTCTCGATAGGATTTTACTTAGCCTCGCCGTGTCTTTGACTCCTTCAAGCGATTCTCAGTAGCTGCTCCAAGATTCCTTCTTGGCTACGTAGATTGCCTTTTTGTATTCTTTGTGTATTGCTTTGTACGGCTGCCAGTCTTTGGTACCGTAACTTGTGTTGAAGGCTTTTCGAACTTTCTTTCTGAGCTCGCATAGCTCTTTGTTCCACCATGGTGGGTATGTCTTCTTAGAGTATGTTAGTCTGCATGACTCTTTGTAGGCTTTGTTCAGAATATTCGTGAAGTCCTCGACTTCCTTATCTATTCTCTCCGGGGTGGATCGGGTCTTGATCCTTCTGTCTTTGACCTTTGACTGTACAATCTTTCCGTATTTGTCCCAGTCAGTGTTTCGATGGTTTCGCTTCGGCGCCGTTTCACATACCGGCATCACGATTTTGAAGAATATGTACCTGTGGTCTGAAAACGAGTCTTGTGTAGAGACTCTCCAATTTCTTACCTTATAATCACTATGCTCCATTTGGAGGGTTATGTCTAGGACTTCCTCCCAGCCCTGAAATCCTTCCGTTCTTGGAAAGATGAAGGTGGGCGTGTTTCCCTTGTTACAAATATTGACGTCACGACATATAATACTATCGAAGAGAGACTCACCCCTTTCGTTTGTCTCCTTACTTCCCCACAGTGTGTGCCTTGCGTTGGCATCGCACCCGAGGATGAGCGTCGTCTTAGTCTCCTCAGCCCACTGCATCACCCTATTAACCGCTTCAGATGTTGCAGGTTCGTCGTGGGCCATGTAACCGGAGCTATTAGTATGGCTGTCCCTTCCGCCGCCTTGAATCTTGCTAGATCTAAGATGCTGAGATTGGGGTAGAGAAGAGCATTAAGGTTGTTTTTAATGATTATACCCGCCCTCGGCCTACCTGTCGAGTTTGTGTACAATGCTGTGTATCCCTTTATGGCCATGCCAGAGATTTGTCCGTCCCTTGTCCATGGCTCTTGTATAAGGCCGATGTCGATGTCCTTCTCGCGGAGAAGGACCCCCAGATTAACTGAAGCGTGGGAGCTGCGCTTCAGGTTTATCTGAACGACGGTCGGCATTAGATCGGGGTGGTGTTGGGGGTGCTGTCGGCGATCGCCAAATCGTCCAGCAGCTTATTGGCGTCCTCGACTTCATCTTCCAGGATGTCGTCCGGTTCGTCTAGGAAGACCTTCACCTTGGCTTTCCTGATGCCGTACCGGACCTTGTTGTCTGCTGCCTTCAGCTGTTCTAGGCAGCGCTGGTTGATTAAGAACAGATATGGCTGGCTGGACTTCAATTCTCGCTCAGCTCTGAGAATGGCCCAGTCCTCCATGTCGACTCCCTTATTCATTGCTCGCAGAGTCTTGAGCACCCTTTCATGACTAGACAGCCCCTTGGGCAACCAGATGCGAACTCTGGGTCTCCTTGGGATGTCCTTGGCGGGGACTAGCTTTATGCTAATCCCCTTCCATGCTTTGCTTAGTCTGGCAACGAAATCCGCCAGGAAGTCCCGCGAAAACTCGTCGTCGCACCTGATTACCCGGTGCCCCCTAACCATGTCTGAGGAGTCAAAGGAGGGTGACTGGCCCGTTGGCTCGGACAGTAATTTGTCGGTTACCATCTCCGCCAGCTGGGTCTCGACCTCCTCCCATTTCTCCATCAGAAGGCGCCCATCGTCGTTGAGCTCGTCTATAAGTGCCATTGCGAGGCTGTCTCTGGCCACCTCGCTGAACTTTTTCGCCGGTTTGACGAACGTGGTCGGCCTCGGTGCTCCCTTAGCGTCCTTGGCTCTCTTTGGAGCGCTCTCGCTCACCTCTTGTTGCGCTTTGCTTGAGGAGGCAAAGACGTCTCTGGGTGCTCCTTCTTACTGCTAGAAATTTCGGCTTTGCCCTCCTTTTCATTCCTCGCTATTTTGGCGAGGATGAAATGGGCCTTGCTTGCCTGCGCCTTTCGTTGTTGGTGGGTCCACGGTTTTGTCTTCCCGTGTTCGCCGGTCGCTTTGGCTTGGCTTGCCGCCGCTTTAGTGTGCTTTGGTTGTGTCGTTTGAGGTGTGTTTGTCTTTACACCTCCCTCTGTATTGGACGGAGCTAGCGTCTCGTCGTCTGAGCGCAGTAGCTCCTCCTCGTCCAATTCGCTTTCCGTCGATTTGTGATGGGGTTTTACCTCCCCCACGAGGTCCGAAGCGAATTTTTTTGTTGTGCTCATTTTCATAAACGCCCGCGTTGCTCGGCAGGGCGAGCGCGGCGGGCCCGAGGGGTTCGGGGCATTGAAGGAAGGTCAACCGTGGCTTCGCCCCTAAGCCACGGCAAGGCTCGTTCCGACCCAGGGTTGCCCGGCCCTGGGAAGGCTCCGTTCGAACACAGCTGGTTTAACCCCTCAGCTGCGAACCATATAGTCAGTGGGCACGGGTCGCTTTACACGCCTGACTTGAGGGGAGGTAGTTTTAAGACTTGCCCATGTCTCGGTAGGGATTGGGAGGCAAAGGATTATCAGGTGAGGTTGGTTTTTTGTGACGGAACATACTGCTACGATTTTTTATTCTCGGACAACTCCTGTAACTCCTGTGATACCTCAATCTGATGAGAACTAGGCCACTCGTCTGGATTTCGCAGTAAGAATTCAGGTCCATTTTCCCATAGAGTACGCTTCAAACCCTCTATATCTGTTCCACGTGATACTAAGTCAGCCGGATTCTCTTCTGTAGGCACATGACGCCAGACTATATTCTCTGAGCGTTCTTGGATTTCAGCAACTCTATTCGCGACAAATGTTGCTAAAGTAGACGGATCCCTCTTTAACCAGTATAGAGTGACTTGGGAGTCCGCCCAAAAATTAACCCTCTCCAACTCCATCTTGTGTAGCAAAAGAAGATACTTGAGTCCATAGCATGGCCAGCAAATACGCTGCACATAATTCGAGCCTTGGAATTGATTTGGTTTTTAGCGGGGACACTCGTGACTTAGTGGTTAGCAGTCTCGATGACCTATTTGTCCCAGCCACCGTGCGAACATAAATGCAACAGCCGTAGGCGTGGCTCGATGCGTCAGCAAATCCGTGGATTTGAACAGTGTCATAGGCCGACAGACAGATATATCGAGGAATGGATATCTTTTCAATCTCTGATAAATTCTGCTTAAATTCGTTCCAACTTGTATGCAATTTCATGGGAACTGATTCATCCCAATCTAGTTTTTGTCGCCAAAGCTCCTGAAGCAAGAATATTGCTCTTGTGATCAACGGACACAATAGCCCGAAGGGGTCAAACAAACGAGCTGTGACGGACGAAATGTTGCGTTTCGTGGGAGGTAAGGATTGAAACGAATCTTCTAAACTATAATGCATCATTCTGAGGGTTCCACCTCATTCCAAGCGTTTTGACGGACTCCGAGGTGTTAAAAATAAGCGTTAAATATAAGCGTTTCTCTGACTAGTCATCAAACTAGGATGATTTGTTGCCCATTTGGCTAAATGGAAACCCCCTAACTCTTCCTTGCGAATCACTTCCAACTCGTCCAAACTGTTCGCTGCTGTGAGCATATCGTCGACGAAAAAGTCGCTCGAAATTACCTCCGCTGCCACCGGATGTGATTTAGCGTAAATTTTTTTTAGCTCAAAGAGACAACGAATGGCTAAGAATCGAGCTGAGGCTGTCCCATAAGTGACAGTGTTTAGGCCAAAGGTTTGGAGAGCTTGAGTCGATATTTCCCTCCACAAAATGAGTTGGAAATTTCGGTCTTCGTTGGCAACGTTAACTTGCCTATACATCTTTGAAATATCTGCTGTGAAGGCATATTCGTTCAATCGAAATCTGAATACCATTAGAGTCTTATTTAATGAGATCGACGTTGACGACAACTCACAACTTTGTGGTGCTACTATCAGGTCTCAGGACACATTGACGTGGAATATAATTGTGTTGTCCTGGAGGAGGCGTTGGAAGCCGTGACATATGCCCAAGGTTAAGATACTCTCTCATAAACTCGTGATACATGTCTTGCAACTCGCAGTTATTCGCAAGTCTGCGCTCCAACGAAGGAAATCTGCGTCTTGCCGTTTCGAAGGATAAGCCTAGAACACTTGGCTTTGTCTTAAATGGCACCTCAAAACGACATGAAGAAAGTCTTTTTACTGTGTGCTCGAAATGCTTTTCGCAAGCAACTTGTTCAGCTGTGTAAACAGCCTTCGATCTCTCTGGGACTTGTTCCAACTCCCAAAATCGTTCCACCAGAGAGTCGAGAGAACTTATATTTTCACTGACAGTGACGCTGCCTACTTGAGCTTGACTCGCTAAGCGTTGAGTGTACTTTCCCGGCACAATCCGTCCTAATAATGTTGGATGGTCGGAACCCAATTTTATTTGGCCTACGCTTAGAAGTTCAAAAAAGGATTCTGCGCCAATCAGCAAGTCCACTTTTGCGGGCTTGTGAAAACGAGGGTCTGCCAATTCAATGTTTGCTGGAATTTTCAGTGGGCATAATTGACCTCATAGTCAGGCTGATATGATGAAATTGACCTTAACACCCAAAAATCGGTTGCGAAACTATGAGCATTGACGCGAGAGTGAATTGACGTGAATGATTTGAATGATCAAATACTGTGACTGCACTTGAGAACCTGATCCCGAAGCTACAGGTTGCTGCTCTATCCCATAATTGTGAAGAAGTGTGTTATGAGGCTTAGAGCAGACGCGACACTTTGTTGCTTTGCATTTTTTAACTGGATGACCAGGATTTAAACAATTGATGCACAACCGATTATGTTTCGTAAAATCAGAACGCTGAATCACGGACAGAGCCATAAAGGCTTGGCAACTACCTAAATTATGATTCGTCGCTGAGCAATATTGACATTTCGAATATGGTGTGAGGAGTCGTTTGACTCCCCACCAATACTGGCGGCGGCAACAACAACAGCCCTAACACCGGCCACAACAACGGCCACAACACCGGCCACCGCGCCAGCAACGACGGCAACAACAACAGCCCTAACACCGGCAACAACAACGGCCACAACACCGGCCAGAACAGCGGCCACACCAACAGCTGCCCCGTCATCAACACCGACGTCATCAACGACGGCCACAACAACGGCCATCCGCTGCCACGTCATCAACAACAGCAGCTCCCAAAGCCAACAACACCGGCCAACAGCTCGCGCCAGCAGCTCATGACAACAGCAGCTCCCCAAAGCCAACAACAACGGCGGCCGGAGCCAACAGCAGCAGCAATAACAACAAGCGCAGCCAGCGGCAACAACGACAGCGGTCAGTAGCCGGCAGCAACAACAACAGCAGCCTGCGGCAATAACAACTGCCGCCAACGCTAATTGAGAGCCGCAACAGCAGCTAGCAGCGAAATCAAAACCAAAACAAACCGGCGTCGGCCAAGGGCCAGCGGCCAACAAGAACGCCCACAAATTTATTTCTCACTTTTGTATATAATTACTTACTTCTCACTTGGTAAACTAAGCTTTGTATATAATCATTTCTAACTTTGTAAAATAAGCTTTATATATTAATAGGCTACGATTTGTAATATATCCATTTACTATTTGTACCAAAGTTAAGCGTAGGCGATAATTTGTATTATCTTTTGGTTCCCCGTCCTCACATCACTAGATCACACACACACACACACACACACACACACTCGGAGAGCAGAGAGTTATTCACCACGAACAAGTGGCCACGGAGTCAGCGCCGTACAGGAGCAAGGGAGAGCGAGCATACGATCGAGCGCAAAACAACCCCCGAAAATTGGCACGCGCCAACGAGAGAAGCGAGAGCGAAGCCAATGCACCGCAATGCAAAAGAATGGAAAATTACCAGCGCGGCCCAAATTTGCCAAAACCGCATGGCATTTTTTCACTCTGGCGAAGGCGTGAAAAGAACATAGACGTGTGAGCGGACGATTTTCAAGTGCAAGTTCAAGTTCAAGTTCAAGTCGACAAACGGGATTTCTTTTACGCGACGGAGTTCTGCGGCAATCGAGTGGAGAAAACATTGACAGTGACAATTTTTGATAACCCGAGACCAGCCAGGAGGTGGTGCTCGACGTAGAGTTGACGAATGCGAGTGACGTCAGCAAGTGGAGTTGCAACAAATTGGTGGCCAGAAAAGGCATCTTGGAGGCGGACGAAGGCAACGGTGGCGGAACATCAGCCACGTGCGTGTATGTGTGCGGACGATTGAGACGGGTGAGTGATTAGGGTGAACCGCATTCTGGCCAGCGAGAATAACGTGCATTTAGAAATTTCTCAAAGGCCTCGGAAAATTTAAATAACGTAACCTCTAACACTGCGAAGAACCTTTATAAATTAAGCCCAGAAATAAAGAAAATGAGAAAACAAATGAAAACTAAAGCGCAGAACAAATGTAAATAATTAAAAATGAAACCCTTCGCTGAAAACTGAATGTATATATATATATATTTCGATTGAAACTAAAAATTCCCCTCGCTGTCGCCATGTTATTTCTCTTGACCTACACCAACTTTCGCCATACGAGTCACCTAGAGGGAAAAGGGTGGACCCAAACTTCTCCGAAATTGTATTAAAAAGTTATAAATTAAAAATATTCTCTGGAGGGAAAATACGTTGGAAATTTATAATTAAATATTTTACCAAAATGTCGCAGTCCGACGAAAAGGGTGGACCTTATCTTCGGGGAAAAGATATTGCAGCAAATTAAATAAAATATTTCTC